CCCCCTCCTCAGCTGGCTTAACTCCCTTTTCTGAAAGCGGTGGAGCAGCGGTCAGCAATGGCCGCCACAAAGAAGCTTTCATCTGGATAAGAATGTGCAGGAGGAAGCTTGAGAAGTGAAAGTTTTTGGCTGACTGGGATAATAAGTAACATTTAAATACCCTGGAATTTAAAGTTCATTAAAAATACATCGCCCCCCAACTAGGGCTATTTTAGAAGACATTATATACGGGAGTCTTTGTGGCTAAATTGGGAGAAGATAAAAAAACAATGTTATTTGAAAATTCCAGTTTGGTTATCGACGAGAGAAGCATTTTCTTATCCTATAATTTATAAGAAGGAACAAACAGTTAGATATGGGGAATTACTAGATGAAAAGGGTGAACTTAAATCGATACAAAATTTAGAGGAACAAGGTATAAAGATGAATTGGTTTTCATATGTGCAAATACACTCAAGGTATGATGAAGATTCCAAAACAGAGGGATTTTATGATAAACAGGCTGATTTAGATAAGATTTTGATAGGTACTGATGAAAAGGTGATTAAAAAACTATATGGTTACTTATTGGGAATTAAGCTAGAGGAAGAACAAGTTAAAGAAACTATGATTGCTTGGGGGAGGAATTTTGGATATGGGATTGACCTAGAGAAATGGCAGAAATTATGGTCGCAAAATTATAAAATGACAATGTCTACAGCTTATAAAGAAAATTTGTATAAGATGTTTTACAGGTGGCATTTTCCCCCGACAAGGATAGCAAGAATGTTTAAGAACAAATCGGAAAAATGTTGGAAATGTCATCAGATACCTGGCTCATATTACCATATGTGGTGGACTTGTGAGGACGCTAGAAAATATTGGACTAAAATCCGCATGTGGTTGGAAAAAATGACAAAGAAACATATAGATTTGAAACCGGAGCTTTTCTTATTGGGAATCCTACCAGATGTATATAGTAAAGATTTGAAATATTTGATTGTAAATGTATTAACTGCGGCTAGGATTGTATTTGCAAAAAATTGGAAAAATGAGAAAATTCCATTGCAGGAAGAAATTATTAAGAAAATATTGGAATGTGCTGAGATGAGTAGATTGACATTTGAAATTAGAGAGCAAGAAGACAAACAATTTTATACAATTTGGGACCTTTTCTATCAATGGTTGGACGATGAAATACAAAAATAGAATATTTAGAATGTTAGGTAATAAGGAATATTATTGACTTTTTTTTCTTTTTTCTTTTGCTATTTGACATTACATTTATAAAGTGTTTTTTTTTCTTTTTTTTAGGATAGAATTGGTATGATTATACGATTTGTTATAGAATAAATTACTTAAATTATAGTTATCTCATAAGGCATGAATGAATATAAGTATAGTCAAATGATTTTTTTTTAATAATGATATGAGGATATATAAGTTTGGATTGATAATAAGAGTTATTATGTAATGTAATTGTAATTGTGACTACGAAATGAATGCACAAAACTGATGAACCAACCGACACACTGTATATAAGTATGGAAGAGAGCTGATGCTTTTATGTTTTGTTTGTTTTGTTTGTTTGTTAAAAAACCAATACAACTGTTTTCAAAAAAAAAAAAAATACATCACCCCCAAAGATCGTAAAAAGCGGCGAATGAAAGTTAAAAGGGAAAGTTTGTTTTTTCTCACTCTCCTTCCTTATGGTGATAGCAGATGGAAATCGGAAAAACCCGTTTTGGCATCAACAGATAATTAAATCAGAAAATTAAAGCCAAGGGGACATTAAAGATTTCTGAACATTGGGGAAAATTTTTTTTGTTGTTGTTGCTATAAGTGGCCAGGTAGAGGAAAAGAATTAATATTAAGATTTTGCTGGAGGAAGCTGCTTGGAATTTATAAGACTAGAGTTAAACTGTAACAAGACTTCTAAAAGATATATTTTGGAACTTTGCAATTGAACTGTAACCCCAGGAAGAGAAAGTATAAAAAGAAGAAAGTGCTAAATGAAACAGTCTGTGTGTATTTGGATTGGTTGGTGACTTTGGGACCTTTGGAAATTATTATTTGAAAGACTAAAAACATTTGGGTTGTTTAAATTTTTTTTCACAATGGCATTACTTGTTGATGAACTGAAAATGGAATTTAAAAAGCTAAAAGAAGAGGAACAAGAAGGGAAGGGCTCTTCTGGATCTGTTTTCCATTTCTTAGAAATGGCAATTTCTACCTATCAGAAACTACAAGAACAAGAAGATTGCGATGAAGAAGAAGCCATCTTTAATGAACAAGCAACTCTAGCTGGGGAAGAAAAGGGAAAGAGGGGAAAGAGAATGGAGAATTTAAGACTTAAAAAAGCAACCAAAAAAAGGGAAAAATAAGGTGAAAAATCGATACAATGTCAGAAAGCAACAGAAAAGAGGAATACAGAAGAAGGTACAGGTTAAGAGGGTGGAGATCAAGAGACAAGGGGGTAAAAAGGCTAGATTGAAGAAGAAAGCAAGGAAAAAAGGGAAGAGAAGTTACAAAGGTTTGAAACAAGATGTAAAGAAACAGGATTTATTCAGAGACAATCAGTAAGAATCATAAAATTTTTCAAAGTGAGAAATCTGAAGAATGCCTATTGGTCTACATATTAGTACATTTATAGTACCAGGCCATTTTAAAATGAAGCTCCTATTTACATATGTAAATCTCTACATAACATTAAGGTGACGAAGATAACAAAAATATTCAGAAGAACCTATATTTACATAAATGAAGTACTGGAGCATATCTAGTCATTGGAATACACTGTATGCACTAGTCACTGTATACACTATATTTGCACTATTGATTTACTTGTTCATTTATTTTCCCTCCAAATAAATTTCATTCTGCTTTTTAAATACTGTGTGCCTCTAAAGTTGCTTATGATCATTAAAAGATAACAAATTCAAGAGCGGGCCCGGTGACATCATGTTGTGGTGGTTCAGGAGAAATCTGCTCTGATTTCCTGAGCCTGGATTTTCACCTCTGGATGGCCATTCGTGGCGGAGTCAGGTCCTGGAGGGATCGACAAGGCGAGGAGAAACTCTTGGAGAGAGTTTGGGAGGTTGCGGTCCCGAAATGTTGAAGAAGAGAGCCCGAAGTCTGAGATGAAAGAAGTCAGCCTGTGTGGCCAGACCAGGACACACGACAAACCAGCCAGCAGGAAGCAGCGAGATGGCAGTGGATGAAGGGGGGTGGCGATCGCATTAGGTTGGAAGCTTTATTTGGATTACAATTTATTTGGATCACAATTGAGATAGACGATTGTTTGAAAAAAACAATCAAGCAGACTAAGGAAACCCAGGTTGAAAGGGGAGAGAGTGGAAATCAGCAGCAGCGTTCTAACTTACCACTCCTAACGCTAGGACAATAGTGAAATTAATAGCGAAAATAAGAAAATAAAAGGAATCTCGACAGAAAATGGGAGTGTGGTGTGAGAGCTGAGAAGTTATTTTCAAAAAGGTTCTGTTTCCTTTTGACAGCTTGAAACAAATTTGTTAAAATTAAATGAACTGAAAAAAACCCGATCTGACAAGAACCTAAATGGAAAGAAGAGTGACTGAAATTCTTAAAGACGGCCATTGAGAAATCTAAACTCTGGTAAAACATTTCATTGTGAATGAAGAAACTTATAAACTTGTAACTGGAAAAATATTGTTTTGAACTACAAGATAGTATACGTTTAATTAGTTTATGGTTATATTATATATAGAAGGAACATTGCATCAGATAATTTATATAATCCTATTTACTGATTTACTTAATAGCTGATTACCTTAAATTTCCTATTTTTCTTATATAGATCCTTTTCTTTGGTACCCTCATAATTCACAACTCTTATTTTAAGTATTGAAGTGCCAGTATAATTAACAGTTATATATTGAAGATTTCATATAGTAATGTGTTTGGATAACCCTAATTGATTTTGATAAAAGGAAGGTGGTAATTAACCCTTTTCCCAGTGATTGTGATGGAATGAAATTATTATAGTATTTATTATAACAACACCATAGGTGTTGTGGCCCCGATTCCCAAGCCTATGCTGTCACAGGAAGAGGACCTGGAAGATGAGGGGAAGGAACTAGGAATGCCTTCCTCCCCAGGACCTTCCTCCCTGGTAATGCCTCAGGTTCCATCAGACAACCGAGAGGAACAGCCTGAGATGAATCAGGAGGAAGGCATGTCGGAGCAGCCCCTGATAGGGAGTGAAGAGGAGTATTGGCTTGACCCCAAGCAGCATTGTAGGGAGAAATGTGAGCAGCAACGTAGGAGGCATGGGAGGGTCAGAGTGAGCTGAGTCATCGAGCCACACCCCACGGGATAAAAGTGGGTGTGTTTTCTCCTTAAACTTTGTATGGGACAAAGTTTAACTTTATTTCAGATTTTCTTCGTGAATGATTGTTTTTTGGACTACCTTGTGATTTTTATGAAGTAAAAGAACTATTTGTGAGTAAAACTTTATTTTATAATTGCTGCCAACTTGGACTTGGCAGGCAGGACGTGGCCAAGAATATTATCAGTTCCAAAGAATTAACTCTGTGAAGTCTGAGCCAGCTTGCCTGCCTGTGCTTGTGTGTGTGTGTACTCCCTCATCTTTTAAGAGAAAGGGAAGGCAAGACAACATTTTTGTCCTGTACCTGACTTAAACCATCTTCTACCTAAGATGGACCAGCAGCAACAGCTGCAAGATGAAAATCAAATTCTACAACAGCAAGTGGTTCAATTAACAGCCCAACTTGCTTTGCTGCAGGCTCATGCAGCTCTCCCTCCCCCTCCCATCGGAAATGCCCGGTGGCTGTACCAGATAAGTTTTCTGGGCAGCCTGAGAGGTTCCCAGCTTTCATGGGACAGTGCCAGATATTTATGGCTATGAGGCCAGAGGATTTCCCAGATCACCGGGCTCAGGTGGGGTTTGTAATAAGCCTCCTTTTTGGCTTGGCTGCCCGTTATTAACTAATTACCAGGGTTTTTGGCAACACCTGTGCCACATGTATGAAGATCCCATACGAATACAGATGGCAGCCAGGTGTCTTAAGGACCTTCGCCAAGGGAAGCACCCCCTGAAAGAGTTTATTTCTGAATTTCGGCTTTTGTGCCTGGACTCCAACTGGAATGACGCAGTGTTAATGGATGCCTTCCAGGATGGCCTGTCAGAAGAGCTGCAGGATGAGTTAGTTCGAGTGGAAGCGCCCCTGACACTCGACGCTTTGATAGTGCAATGCTTGCGCATCAACGCACGTCTCCAACGGCGAAAGAACCATCGTACCATCCATGAGCAGCCGTCTGCATCTGTACTGCTGCACCCTGTGCTAACAGCACCCCGGGTCACCCCACATGTCATGGCAACAGCTGAGGAACCAATGGAGTTGGGAGCGGTCAGACCTCGCCTGATGGCCCAGGAGCGAACGTGGAGATGCCAAGAGGGTTTGTGCCTGTATTGTGGGTGGTGGTAGTGGTGGACATTTTGCTATTTCTTGTCCTCTAAAGCGAAGTGGGGTGCTCAAGCCTGTGCCTGAATCTTGGTGTGATCAGTCAGGAAACGGGGCAGGCCCGACCTGGGGGGAAACCCTAGGCAAGGCAAACACCCGCCTGAATTAGCGGAGGTTGACTCTGGCTCCCCTCAGCCAGATTTTGGACACTCGGGTTTTCTTGGCTAACCAGTTGGAATCCGCATGCGCTGCGCTGGTGGACTCAGGGTCCATGACTAACTTTATGGACCAGAACTTAGCGGCCCATTTTGATGTCCTTTTGGTTCCGGTGGAACCTCCGATGAGGGTCGAGACTATTGATGGGCAGAAACTTATTGCAGGACCTATTAAATTAGCCACCCAGCCTTTGTGCCTACCCCTTGGAGCACATGAGGAGGTGATCTGCTTTTATGTCACCGCGGACCTCCATTTCCCATTGGTCTTTGGCATGGCTTGGCTTAGGATTCATGACCCTCAGGTGGTCATGGAACGCCATTTCTTTTCCGAATCTGCAGTGCATGGACCACTTCTGCCACACCTGTGCTGGCCAGGACATCTCTACCTCTGCCATCTCCATACCTCCTGAACTGACAGACTTCACAGATGTGTTCAGTGAAAAGGAGGCAGACCGGTTACCCCCGCATTGGCCCTATGATTGCCCAGTGGACCTTCTGCCCAATGTACCGCTGCCAAAGGGACGTTTGTACTCCAGGTCCGACTCCGAGCCTAATCTGGCCGCACTAAGGGGTTTTTTGGACAAAAACTTGGCCGGAGGGTTCATCCGGCCTTTGTTGTCTCCTCTCTCAGCCCCAGTCCTCTTTGTCAAGAAGACGGGAGACTTACGCTTGTGCTGTGATTACTGCCGGCTAAACGCCTTCATGATGTGGAATCACTACCCCTTGCTGCTCATTCCAGAGTTGTTGGAGAGGTTGAGGGAGGCCACTATCTTCACCAAGCTTGATCTTCAAGGGGCCTACAACCTGGTGTGGATGCGAGAGGGGGATGAATGGAAGATGGCATTTGGCCATTTTGAGTACATTGTGATGCCGTTTGGGTTGACCAATACCCCCGCAGTCTTCCAGCACTGATGAATGATGTGTTTCGGGATAAGTTAGATCGGTTCGTGGTGGTCTACCTGGACAATATTCTGATCTATTCCGGGTCCAGGGACAGCCACCTTCAACACGTTCGTCTGGTTTTTCAACGCCTTCGGGAGCACCAACTTTATGCGAAGCTGGAGAAATGTCTCTTCTTCCAGACTTCCATAGAGTTCCTTGGGCACATCATCTCTCCCGAAGGCATCGCCATGGACCCGCGTAAGGTGGAGGCCTTGTGTAGTTAGGAACCCCCTCGTGGCGTGAAGGATGTTCAATGCCTATTGGGGTTTGCTAACTATTACCGGACCTTTGCCAAGCTGACAGGTCCAATAACCCAGCTCCTTCGAAAGAAGATCCCATTCCAGTGTCCCCCCCTGCAGCAACAGGCTTTTGAGGCCCTCAAAAATGCCTTCGTCGCAGAACCCATCCTGAGGCACCCTGATCCACATCATCCTTTTGTGGTGGAGATGGATCCATCCAACGTGGCTATTGGGGCGGTGCTGTTGCAGGCCCTGGTGGATAGCATCACTCTTTTTCCCTGTGCTTATTATTCCCAGAAACTCAATCCTTCCGAATGCAACTATACCATCTGGGAAAAAGAGTTGCTGGCTATCAAGGCTGCATTTGAAGCTTGGCGACATCATCTAGAGGGGGCCAACACAAGGTGGAGGTCCAGATGGACCATCGGAATTTAGAACACTTGTCAACAGTGAGAAAGTTGAACCAGCGGCAGATCCAGTGGTTGTTTTTTTTTGCCTGGTTCAACTTTTCTGTGACCTATATCCCCAGTGGTCACAATTGGAGGGCGGATGCCCTGTCCTGCAAACCCAAGTACCTTTGTCCTGAGGACCCCCTTCCTCTGCGGACGGTGCTGCCAGCAGAATCCTTGGCCACAGTCCAGAAACCGGTGGACTTCCAGACTCAGGTGCGAGAAGCGCAGCACCTGGACGCTTGGACACAGCAAAGGACAGGGGAGATTGGTCCCAAATCTCCATGGACTTTGGAGGAGGGCTTACTCAAGCATCGGGGGCGGTTGTACGTACCCACGGGGCATGTCAAAGGCAATTTCCCAAGTGAAATTATTTTCATGTGTTACACAGAATCCACCTTATCTCCTCCCACTTCTACACTTCATAAATCACGAGAACCAATTAACTGCCACTGGAATTTCTTAATATGACATACAGAATAATCTTGAACTTTTCAACTCCTCCAACTCTCTTAAAAAATAATGTGGCAGCTGAATTTTAAAGCTGACAGGTGTCCCCCCTTGAAAACTCCTCCTAAAAGAAAGGGAAAAACCAGATACAGGGGTTAACACATTTTCCTTAACCCCCCCCCCCCCCCCATCAGGACTCTTCGGTTTGTGGGGAAAATCCTCATGGAAATGGTTAACCAATTGATCAGCATGAACATCCCAACTCTTTACCCAAGTAGCATCCGAGAGAGGGTATCATTTCCATAAGACCAGATACTGCAATCGGCCACAGTGTAATCTAGAATCAAGAATATTTTTAATTTCATAATGTGTTTCCCTCTGTACCATTAACGGTTTAGGGAGAGCAATTGGTGGTGGTCTTATCATTGATGTAGTAGCTGGTTTTAGTAAACTACAATGGAATACTGGATAAATTTTCCCCAATATTCGAGGAAGACTTTATTCGACAGTGACCGGATTGATTATCTTTGAAATTGGGAACAGACCCAAGAATTTTGGACCCAGCTTGTTATTGAGCAGTTTCAACCTAAGATACTTGGTTGACAAATATACTTTGTCTCCTACTTTAAAAGGCGGTTGAAGGGATCTATGTTTATCCACCTGTTTTTTATAATTTTTTGCAGCTTTGGTCAAAGCTTTTTTTGTATCTTCCCATCCTTTCTTTAATGTGTTCATCCATTCTGTTAGGGACATGGATGAGGGAGGTTGTCTAGGTAACTCTGGCATCGGAACAAAATCCATTCCGGTGTTAATTTGGAATGGAGTTAATCCCGTGCTGCTATGTACTGCATTATTGTAAGCAACCTCTTCAAAAGGTAATAACTCAGTCTTATTTTCTTGTTGATAATTTACATCTAATGTATTGTTCAGTCATGGTGTTAGTCCTCTCCGCTGCTCCGTTACAAGCAGGATGGAAAGCTGAGGATAATCCTTGAGAGGAACCAATGGAATTCAGAAATTCCCTCCAAAATTTTGCGGTAAATTGTACCCCTCTGTTTGACGTTATTCTACCAGGTACTCCATGTAGTCTATAGATATGTTTCACGAACAGCTTTGCAAGATGGAAATCCTTTGCAGGCTATAAATTGGGCCTGTTTTGAGAATAAGTCAATTATAGTCCAAATAATTGTATTCCCTTCACTCTTAGTAATTCAACAATAAAGTCCATTGCGATCTCTTTTGGTTCAGCAATTTGTTGCAGGAAGCCAGGGGTTTTTCCAGTTCTGTGTTTCATTGTGGCACAAATTGAGCAACTGTTTACATAGTCCTTGACATCAGGTTTCATTTTTGGCCACCAGAACTGTCTTCTCAGTAAATGTAGGGCTTTTAGGAATCCAAAGTGGCCTCCCAGCTGGGAGTCGTGGCTATGCTTTAGTACCAGTAGTCTTAGGGTTGTGGGTATATAAAGCTTAGTCCCTTTCCAAGCTAGTCCATCATTCATTGTCAACTCAGTTTGATGGTCCAGGAACTAAGGGTTGGTCAATAGGGCCGTTTTCAATTCTGTAGTCAGCTTATCTTCCAGGTGTTTGGGGCTGTGGTTGGCTTGAGCTCGAGTGGTCACTTGGCCTGCCGATTGAGCTTCTGAAATTAAGGCTTGTACTATTTCCTCTCGGTGGCTGTCAAACTGAGGTTTTCTGGGCAGAGCATCTGCCAGTACGTTTTTCCCTCCGGGGATATATTTAGTGTTAAAGTTGAATAGCTTGAAATATTGGGCCCAACAGACTTGTTTGGGCGATAATCTCCTAGGAGTCTTTAGAGCCTCGAGGTTCTTACGATCAGTCCATACCTCAAAGGCCTCTGGTGCCCCTTCTAAAAAATGCCTCCAAATCAACAAAGCCCACCATACGGCGAATGCTTCTTTCTCCCAGACCACCCACCTTTGCTCTGTGTCTGTCAGCGTTTTGGACACATAAGTGCAAGGCATCAGTCGGCCTTAAGAGTCCTTTTTCAGCAAAACAGCTGCCACTGCTAAATCACTTGCATCCGTTTAGACAATAAAAGGCTTGGTTGCATCTGAGTGCTGGAGAATGGGCTCAGCTGTGAAGAGGCGTTTTAAGACCTCAAAAGCTTTCCGACAGTCCATAATCCAAGCCAGGGGTTAACTTGGCTTCGGTTTGATGGGTGACGGGCCGTTTTTAATATCTCCATCAATTGGAGGGCAACTTCAGCAAAGGACGGAATAAATTGTCTATAGAAGTTGGCAAATCCCAAGAAACTTTGAAGTTTTCGGGGGTTCTGCGGGGTTGCCAGTCCAGCACCACTTTTACCTTTCTGGGGTCCATTTCAATTCCCAGGTTGGATATTTGGTAGCCTAAGTAGTCCAACAACTCTTTGTGGAATTCGCATTTTGAGAGTTTCACATATAATTTGGCAGCTAGAGGTTTTTCTAGAACCTGTCAGACCAATTGAACATGTTCTTCAATAGTTTCATTGAAGATAAGAATATCATTCAGGTACACGAGGACCACCGGTAAAGATGTGGGTGTAGCACCTCATTGATGAGCTGCATAAACACTGCAGGAGCCCCTTGAAGTCCAAAAGGCATGACTTTGAATTGGAAGTTACCCAGAGGGCAGTTAAAAGAAGTTTTCCACTCATCTTCTTCTTTGATGTGGACCCAGTAGTAAGCTTCCCTGAGATCTAGCTTCGACAGGTGGTTCAATAAGTCCTTCATAAGGGGGAGAGGGTACATGTTTTTGACGCATACGGCATTCACGCCTCTAAGGTCAACACACAATCTCAACCGCCATCTTTCTTCTCCTTGTGGGAAGTTGTCACGGGGGAAGTTGTCATGATTTGGCAGACTCAATAAAACCTCATTCCAAATTGCTGTCGATGTATTTCCTTAATTCAGTCATTTCAGCAGGTGTCATGGAATACATCTGTGGTTTTGGTAATTTCGCCCTGGGCTCTAATTCTATGACGCAATCAGTGGCTCAATGGGGAGGTAAGAAATTACACTCTTCTTCACTGAATGCTTCAGCCAAGTCTTTGTATTGGTCGGGTACCTGGGGATTATCTGGGAGAAGGGGGGATGCCATGGATGCTGGCTCAGGCTCTGGGTTCAATCTTACTGGTGGCGGTCTGGTGGTCCATTGCTCCCATCTGTGCAGAGAGAGCTTTCCCAGCTGTGTTTGGCGAACCCACCCCTGGCCGGAGGTCTTTCTTGATTCTTCCAACCTCTAACAGCTGGATTAGACTTTGACTGCAGAGCTTGTGGTACAAGAGCAGGGGCCAAACAGTCTGCTGCTCTATGGCCGGCTTGGCCACATTGGTAACATTTCAGCACCCTGGTAGGTTGTGTATGAGCAGGTTTGGCTGATCTGATTGGTGATCTCCTAGCCACAATTCTCTTAGGCAGGGCTACTGGAAGAGATTTCCTGTGTGGGTTGATGCTGCAATCTAAGCTGAGGGGTGCAACATACCATGATTGTAAGGTCTCTGGGATTCCCCTAATTTCACAGGTCTTCTTTACTTCTGGATCAATGGCGTTTTTCAAATAGCGTAAAGTCATTCTTTCAGGCCAATCCATGAGGTGGCTTGCGACCCTTCTAAAGTCCCAAATAAATTCTGACAAGGGTCGCTTGCCTTGCCTCATTTTCATTAACTTCTCTTCATTCTCTGCTACCCTGTCTGGATTTTCAAATCTGAGTCTTAATAATTGAATAAATCTGTTTACATTGCGTAATGCTCCAGTCAGACAGAATAGCAATCTGCCTGGGGCTCGAGAAAGATTTCTTTTCAACCAGCTGAGTTACCTCTTGGTTATAACAACTTCTTGAGTTGAAACACTTCAGTATAGCTCCCAAACCTCTTTCCTCTACTGTCATTTTGAAAGCATCCATCATCTCCTCCAAACAAAGGCTTGCAGATTCAATTAATGTTCCGGAGGAAGGGCCCCCATATTCTCCCCCATGCATATCTCCAACTTTGGCTGATTGTTGATAATTCTCCATCTCAGGAAAAAGAACTCCGGGGTATCAGCCAAGCCCCTTCAAAAAATAAAAGTTTGAGACGGTCTTCCGGCTTATAGTGCTTCGGTGCAGGCAGGATTCCGTGACTGTGCACGGTTTCTGCCTGTGTTCACTGCCTGAGTGCCTTGAGCCATTTGGCTTCGGGGCTAAGCCACCTTTGTAGAAGGTGGTGAAGACTGGGGGGTTCTGGCAGGGACGAGAGACATCGCATCTCTCTTCCCTAGCCGGCTAAATCTCCCTCTCTGATGGCAACTGAACGGCGGTCTTAATGGCCGCCATTTAGAAGAGCTCAGCCGGGAAAAGGAATGTGCTAGAGGGGTTTGTGAAGAAATGAAACTGATTTTGCTGACCGGGACAAAGGAACAGTGAAAGTATCCTGGTATTTAACACCTACTAAAGACACATTGCTCCCAGACTGAGTAAGCAGCGAATGGATATCAAAGGGAAAACTTTTTTTCTTTTCACTCTCCTTCCAAACAGAACAGCTTTGAGAGAAATTGGAAACCCGCATTGAAGGTATGCTAAATGCTAAAGACTATGCTAATGCCAAAGGGATATGGATTTCTAAATATTTAAAGAAAATTTTTTCTTCTGCTGTGAGTGGGAAGGGAGAGGAAAAAAATTGAAGTAGAAATTGAAAATAAGGAGCAAACTGCCTAGAACTTTAAAGAGCCATTTGAACATTAATAAGACTTCAAAAGACATACTATAATTGGAATTTTGTGATTTAATAGCAACCCCAGAAAAAGAAATGGAAGAAGAGAAAAAGTGCTAAATGAAATAGTCTATCTGGATTGTTTGGTGACTTTGCATCTTTTGGGAAACTTTTTTTTTCTTTGTTTAAAAACACTCGGGTAGTTGTTTTGGGAAAAATTTCTCCTCTTTATAATGGCACCACTTTTGGATGAATTTAAAACTGAATATCTAAAATATAAAAAGGAAGAACAAGACTGGAAAGATATCTTGGACATTCTTTTCCAATCTCTAGAAATGGTGGTGCATTCCTTTGGAGAATTGATTGCGTAGCAGGATAATTGGGATAAAGAAGGAACCATTTTTGATGAACATGTGACCCTATTGGGGGAGAAGAAGGAGGAAGAGGAAAAGGAAAAAGGGATTTTAAAACCTAAAAAAACAACCAAAAAAGATAAAAATGAGTTGAAGGGTAGATATAAGGTTAGAAAACAACAGGAAGGGGGAAAGCAGAAGAAGAAAAGGGAGGTGGAAAGGCAAAGGGGGAAAAAGGTTAAGGAAAAGAATAAGCAAGGGAGAAAGGAAGGGGTGAGAAGTCTCAATGATGGGAAGCAAGATCTGAAGAAACAAAATTTATTTAGAGACAATGGGTAAACTTAATTGAAAAAGGGATTCTGTAAAGTACATAAGATTGTGTTATTATAGGCATTTATAGAATAAAATGTTTAAGATATAAATATATAAATAAGTATCAATAGGTACAATTAAAATGGTTTTGACAGGGGTACTACCTATATTATATATCTATAAATTTCTTTGTTGTTGTCGTTCTTTCTTTTTTCTTTTTCTTTTTATATAATATATGGTGTGACTTTAGGATGTGCTAAACAGAATCCCAATATAAGTTATGTGTGATATTAAGTATTATTAGGTTAGGGGAAAGAGTTAAAGGCGTCATACTCTAATTAGTGTACAGGAGAGGTTTTGTTTAAAGAGAAAAAATGAATGGATAGCTGAGAACAGACAAAGAATGTTAAATATTATGACTTGAACTGAGATAAGTAGAATAAAACTAAGAGAGTTAAAAAAAGGAAGAAGCTATATAGAAAATGGGAAACAGTAATAAGATATGGAATGATATATAAAAGGAACATGATTTGTGAAGAGGTGTCTGTACGATGAGTTTTAACCCGGGATCAAGCAACTTTCAGAAAAGATGTTTATGTTTTTATGTTTTATGTCTTGTTTTTTTTTTTTATTGGAAGAGAATAATGAAAATGTATAAGACAGATGGATATAAAAAATGTACACAATTTAAAGTTAAAGAGATATAATTTGAATAAATAGAAGGAAAGGAAGTAATAAAGAGAAGTTTGGGATAAGATATGAAGATGAACAGATAAGGTAAATATATATATCAAATTGTGCTTGTTTGGAAATGTGATAACTTGGAATAACTCTGTCTTTAAATAAGATGTATTGGCTTTTTAAGAAAAAAAACTCTTATGTCATTATATTCTATGTTTTGTTTGTCTGTGTATTGTTTTGGAAAATCAATAATATTTGTTCAAAAAAAATAAAAAATAAAAGTTTGACTTGGGAAATAAATGTAAGGCATCCAGAAAGTATCCATGATATCAATCACTCCGAGACATTTCTCTCCAATTGATTTATTTAGGAACAGATCTGACATGTCAAAGGCAATTTCCCAAGTGAAATTATTTTTGCACATTACACAGAATCCATCTTCTCTCCTCCCTTCTCTCCTCCCACTTCTACACTTTATAAATCGCAAGAACCAATTAACTGCCACTGGAATTTCTTAATACGACATACAGAATAACCTTGAACTTTTCAACTCCTCCAACTCTCTTTAAAAAAATGTGGCAGCTGAATTTTAAAGCTGACAACAAGAATATAAATTACAGGCATTTGCTGATGATGTGTTTGTTATTATAGAGCACAGGTGTCAAACTCAAGGCCCGTGGGCCAAATGTGGCCCGCCACGTCATTTTAAGTGGCCCACAAGAGCTACAACATTATGATTGTCTTTAAATAAATAAAGCAAAAGAAAGCATTGACCACAAACTACATTTCCCAGAATGCATACCAATTATGTTACCAGTGAATTGTCAACATCCTGCCACTAGGTTGCAGTGTATCTGCATCAATGTTATTTTCTGCAAGTTGAATTATGTGGAATTACAAATGATCCCAAAATGTCCAGAAGAGGAAAGTTGATGCAGATGGAAGGATGTTTCAAGAAAGATGGGAAGGTGAATACATGTTTGTGCTCCAAGGAGAGAAACTGGTATGTCTTTTATGTTACGAGGCATTATTGGTTGTCAAAGAGTACAATCTACGTCGGCATTTTGAAACCAAACACAGAGCTAAGTATGCCAAAGTTAGCCTTTCAGAAAAATGACAGATTGTCGAAGAATTAAAAAGCAAACTACAATTGCAGCAAAATGTGTTCATGAAAGCCACAACCAAAAACACTGTGGCAGTGAAAGCTAGCTTCATCGTTGCAGAAGAAATCGCCTGAGCTTCAAAGTGTTTTTCAGAGGGCGTGTTTTTGAAGCAGTGCATGCTGAAGGTCTGTGAGCAGGTGTGCCCCGACCAGATACAGACTTTTAAAAATGTCAGTTTATCAAGGAACACCATTGTGGACCGAGTTACAGAACTCGCAGGAAACCTGCTGACGCAGTTGGCCCAAGAGACACGTAGCTACATGGCTTTTTCATTAGCTCTTGATGAAAGCACAGACAACACGGATACAGTGCATCTATCCATTTTTATTCAAGGCATGAAGTTGGACCTCTCTGTCACTGAGGAGCTGTTGGATGTAGCTGCCATGGCTGGGACCACAACGGGACAGGACATTTTTGATATGGTGGAGAAGTCCATGAGTAAAAATGCATTGCCTTGGGAAAAGTTGGTGGGATTAACTACAGACGGTGCACCTGCAATGTGTGGAGGAAAAGCGGGCTTGGTTGGAACAATAAAAGACAAAATGCTGAAAAGTAATTGTCAGATGCCTCTGGTAACGTATCATTGCATCATTCATCAAGAAATATTGTATGGGAAGATGCTGGGGATGGATCATGTAGTAACCACAGTCATGAAAACTATGAACTTCATTCGAGCGTGTGGCCTGAATCACCGTCAGTTCCAGCTGTTCTTGCAGGAAATGGGCTCAGAGCATGGAGACGTTCTGTACCATACAGAAGTACGGTGGCTGAGTAGGAGTAAAGTCCTCAAACGATTGTTTGAACTTAGGGAAGATATTACTCTTTTCATGCTAAGCAAAGGAAAATTCGTGTCTGAACTGTCAGATCCCAACTGGCTGTGTGACTTTGCTATGTTATGTGACATAACCGAGCATCTCGCCCAACTGAATCAGAAGCTGCAGGAACGTAGACAAGTCATTACGCAGAGGTCCGACATGATCACGGCTTTCCAGCATACACTTGATCTGTGGATGTGCCAAGTCAAACAGGACAATGTTGCTCACTTTCCTGTTTCTCAAAGCATTTCAGCCTCATTTCCTGGTGTTTTTTCATGTGCTCAGTTGGCTACCAAAGTGAGCCGATTAATAAATGATTTTGATCGGTGCTTCTCTGACTTTAAAGCGCAGCACTCAGACTTTGCCATCTTTGCCAATCCTTTCACCACTGACGTCTGCACTGCACCCCAGCACCTTCAGATGGAGTTAATCGAGCTTCAAAGCAATCGTAGCCTGAAAGCAAAGTTCAAGGATGTTGCGATCCAGGACTTTTACCATAAAATACCCCCTGGTTCAATGCCACAGCTTCAACGTCATGCAGCCCATGTTCTGTCTATGTTTGGGAGCACCTATCTGTGCGAACAGATGTTTTCAATAATGAATCTAAACAAAAACAAGCATAGATCACGTATCACTGATGAGAACCTCCACGCTGTTCTACGAATTGCTTCAGCACAAGACCTAAAACCAGACATTGACACACTGGCTACGGAAATATGGTGTCAAAGATCCAGCCAGAAAATGCATAAGTAAGCATTTTTAAAAACCTAATTAATATATAATAAAATGTATTTCAATCAAGAAGAAGAATAGTTAAACTGTGCAATTTAATGATTGTGCTGACATTTTGTTATTTTTAGAACATGATCAATGGATTATGATGGAGGAGAGGGGATCCACTCTGTGTGTTCCAGAACAGTCAGCATCTCCTCATGAACTTCACCTAAAAACTTGAGACAATATAGTTGTGAATTGAGATAACCCTGATTTTGTTATTTTGAGTTATTTACAAATATAACTTTATATGTGTAGAAATGCATTTAGTGTTTATAAGTTTATATGTTTATGCAGACAAATCTGCAAGGCTATATGCAGCCATTTGTTTTTGTGAAATGCTACATCTGTCACATATGTTCTTAACAGCTCACAATTGTTGGTTGTATGTATTCTGTTATTTTGCCCCTCCTAGCTATGACAAAAAGGATTTGAACAAAGTTATTATCATAACTGATGTTGGATGATGTTTTTCTATTATTATTCAGTTGGATAGATTGATCATTGATGGAGTAATGTGGGTTTCTTAACTTGACAAAGTAATTTTTTATGTTATATTAAAAGAGCTACTAGCAACCTTTTTTTTTTACATTTATGCAAATGCATATGTAATATTTGTGATTTGAATAAATAATAAATTCAGAGTTAATTAACATTTAGGAGTAGTTACATTTGATTACATTTATACTGTCATACAGTTACATGTGGTCCTTTGAGGGCAACCATAACACTGACGTGGCCCTCGGTGAAAATGAGTTTGACACCCCTGTTATAGAGGATCCAATAGATTCAGGACCAACCTTATTAAAAGAAATTGATAAATTTGGTAAACTAGCTGGGTTGAAAATCAATAAAGAAAAAACCAAAAATGTTAGCTAAAAATATAACAAATAATAAACAAAAAGAACTAGAAGAAATAATGGGACTACAAATTGTCAATAAGATTAAATATTTAGATATATGGTTAAGACCCAAAACAATAACTTTGAAAGAAGACAATTATGTTAAACTATTACAACAAATAAGAAATGATTTGGAGATTTGGAGCAAATTGCAGATTTCTTAATTAGGCAAAATTGCCATAATTAAAATGAATGTTCTACCCAAATTGCTCTATTTATTCCAAACGATCCCTATATTATTGGATAAATCGTTTTTCAAAGAATTGGATAAAATTTCTATGAAATTCATTTGGACAGGCAAGAAGTCAAGAATTAAAAAAAATTATTTATTTTTTAATAAAGTTTTATTGAGTTTTAACAAAACAAATAAGACATCTTATTTGAGTACATGGTTCCGGGTTATCACATTTCCATACAGATACAATTTCATATGCATATTCATCTTATATATTCAACTTCATATCTTATTACTTTTTTTCCAATTTCTCACTATTTCTCCCTTTACTCTTCTTAATTTTCTTTTATGGTCATCTCATTTTCTTCTTATTCAATTGTATTTGTTTTACTTAAATTTCTATATCTTTTTATTCATTGTACTTATACTTTCATTTGTCTTGTTTACAATTTCATATGTTCTCTTCCAACATTCTTAAGAAGCAAAATTCCCCCTATGATTGCCAATCAAAGTGTAACACATTTAAATCTTATTGTTATTATCATATGAAATCTCATTAAACATTGAATTTGTGCATTCTAAAATTATAACATTCAAATTTCTAATATCTATTTTATATCATGTAAATCTCATCATTCAGACTCTGCTTGGTACTTCCCCTTGAAAATGTAAAAAGAAAAATTCTAAAAACATAGCAATATATATATGTGTGTGTGTGTGTGTGCGTGCGTGTATATGTTTTCTTAAGTTTTCGTGGGTACTTACATGTATGGTTTTCAGCTTTGTTCAGGTATTTTCCCATGTCATTTTCCCACAATGAAGTGGGAAAATACCCGAACAAAGCTGAATACCATACATACATACATGCTTACATACATACATACATACATACATACATACATACATACATGGATCTTTGGTTATTCGGGTTTTCTCCCGTGTAAAGTTGGAAGTGTCTAGGCCTAGACACTTCCAATTTTACGCGGGAGAAAACCTGAATAACCAAAGATCCACATACGAATACCCGCGAAAACCTCAGTGTATATGGACACAATCTGAAGCCTGATGATGCCAGATGAGATTCTGCCGAAACGTTGCTACAACTTTAAAAGCACAACTACAATGACGTGGGAAAATACCCGAACAAAGCTGAATGCCATGTATGTATATATGTATATGTATATATATATATATATATGTATATATATAAACATTAGTAAACAAAATAATTATTCAAAATCATTCTAGTACTGGTATGAACCTTGTAAATCTTTCACGTTTCTTTTCAATATCTATCAAACTTTGAGAACAATTGAAATGTTTCCCTCCCTTCTTCATTATTACTTAACTGTTAATAAGCATACTATTGGATATTCATACAATTTTATCTTATAAATTATTAATATTAATAGGCAAAATAATTATTCAAATTCATTCTAATAACTGGTATAAATTTCCTTATAAATCTTTCACATTTCTTTTCAATATTTTATCAATCTTTAGAAACAATTGCAATGTTTCCCTCTCTTCTTTATTATTGCATTACTTATAAATAAACATACCATTACATAACAATACAGTTTTATCTCATAGATTATTTACTTAGTTCATTTCTGACTCATTACAGTATTCTACTGTCATAACACTATCTTTTGTACCTTTGCAGAATCCTCACTTTTAACTTAATTTAACCATTGTCTCTGTGTTGTTTTTTTTAAATTTTTATTGGTTTTTAAAATGAACATAGACAAACAAAACATAAAAACATCAAGCCATCTTCCCTATATATACATATAGTGTGCCAGTTGGTTTACAAATTGTTTTGTGCTTCCATTTCATAGTCTTCAATTACAATTACATTGTATATATTCTCATATTTTCAATCAAGTATTAAATACATTAATATCATTGTTAATCATTTGACTATACTTTTATTCATTCATGTTTTACGAAATAATAATATTTAACTTAAATTGTTTCATGACAGTTCATATTGTCATCTCAAATCTATCCTACAATCATTTTGTAGATATAATAAGAAAAGAATACCTCTTTATATATTTATTATTTTCTAAGAAACTACATATTTCATTACCATGTTTTATTGTCTAACCATTGATAGAATAGACCCCAAATTTTATAAAATTGTTTATCATCTTGTTCTCTGATTTCAAATGTCAATCTACTCATTTCAGCACATTCCAATATTTTCTTAATGATTTCCTCCGGTGATGGTATTTTCTCATTTTTCCAGTTTTTAGCAAACACAATCCTAGCTGCTGTTAATACATTTACAATCGTGTATTTCAAGTCTTTACTATATATTTCATGTAAAATTCCCAATGAAAATATCTTTGGTTTCAAATCTATATGCTTTTTTGTCATTTTTTCCAACCACGTGTGGATTTTAGTCCAATATTTTTTAGCATCCGCACAAGTCCACCACATATGGTAATATGAGCCAGGTATCTGATGACATTTCCAACATTTTTCAGATTTGTTCTTGAACATTCTTGCTATTCTTGTCGGGGGAAAATGCTACCTGTAAAACATCTTATACAAATTTTCTTTATATGCTGTTGACATTGTCATTTTATAATTTTGAGACCACAGTTTTTGCCATTTCTCTAAATCAATCCCATATCCAAAATTCTTCCCCCAAGCAATCATTGTTTCTTTAACATGTTCTTCTTCTAGTTTAATTTCTAATAAATATCCATATAATTTTTTAATCACCTTTTCATCAGTACCTGTTAAAATCTTATCTAAATCAGTCGATTTATCATAGAAACCTTCTGTTTTAGAGTCTTTGTCATATCTTGAATGTATTTGGGTATATGAAAACCAATTCATCTTTATACCTTGTTCCTCTAATTTTTGTATAGATTTAAGTTCACCCTTTTCATTCAATATTTCACCATATCTAACTGTTTGTTCCTTTTTATATATTATAGGATAAGAAAATGCTTCAATAGTCGATAGCCAGACTGGAATTTTCAAATAACATTGTCTTTTAGTCTTCTCCCAGAGAAGACTAAACCACAGAGATTACCGTATATAATGTCTTCTAAAATACCCCTGTGATTTAGTTCCTTTATACCATAGTAAAGCATGCCACCCCAACAACAGATCATGTCCTTCTAATGTCAACAATCTAGTATTTCTTAATGTTATCCATTCGTTAACCCACATCAAATTTGTAGCTTGGTAGTACAACTCCCAATTAGGCAAACCAAATCCTCCTCTTATTCTAGCATCTTGCAAAAGTTTTAGCTTTATTCTCGCTTTCTTACCTTGCCATATATATTTCAACACAATGTTATTTAAATCTTCAAAGTAATCTTTTCCAAGCCTATTTGGAATTGTTTGGAACAAATATAAAATTCTGGGTAATGTATTCATCTTGATTGTTGATATTCTCCCTATTAATAACAGCTGTAAATTTTCCCATTTCGCCAAATCTAACGCTATCTGCTGCTTAAGTTTGATATAATTATTCTCTTTTAGTGTACTGCATCTTGCTGTCAAATGTATCCCCAAGTACTTAATCTTTTCCGTGACCTGAATTTTCAATAGATCTGTCAGTTCTTCCTTTTGTCTTGATAGCATATTCTTTGTCAAGATGTTTGTCTTATCTTTATTTATTTTCAAACCAGCCACCTTTCCGTATGCCTCTATCTTTTCTATCAATTTGGATGCTGTTTCTAGTGGGTCTTCTAAAATGAAAACCAGATCATCTGCAAATGCTTGCAACTTAAATTCTTCCTTTTTAATTTTCATCCCTTTTATAACCTTTTCTTCTCTAATATTTCTGTTTAGCACTTCCAAGGTTAACACAAACAACAGAGGTGATAGTGGGCACCCTTGTCTTGTTCCTTTTCTTATATCAATAGAGTCTGTCA